TTTTTTTTTCAATGTGATCATTTTCAGGTGTTTTCTCACACACACACACACACACACACACTTTTTTTTTAATTGGCCAAATTTCAAAGTGGAATACCATTTCAACATAAAAAGTTGAAATATAACATTTCAAAATGGTCAAAATGAAATTTTTTGACATTTTTGAAATAAAAAAAAGTAGTAAAAATTATTTGTTGAATTCTATCTGAATTGTGAATAGATTCAGAGATCCAAAAAATACATTTTTCAGCAAAAATACCATTTGCAAAAAGAAATTTTTTTAAAATTCACCTAGCTCTATGTAGGAGCAGGAACTGGCAATTATACCCCCATCAGTAAGGCATTGACATAGGGATCTGCCCAGATGGAGCTCACTACAGGCATGGTGGACTTAAAGTGAAGCTGAAGAGTAAGAATCTAGACTATGAAGCGTTTTATTCTGTCAGGTTCTTAATGACAACTCAGATTAATCTTTTCTTCCACCCCCAACCCACAATGTTTTGAATCTTTAAGGTCACAAGATTTATTAAAAGAGTTTATGATGAACAGTTTGTTTAGCATTGTAATTATCTTCTGCAATACAAAGCAAACACACTGGAAAATAATGAGAGTCTATTTTAGCAGAGCATATTATTAGGATCTTTTTCATTTACAGAATAAAGAAAACTCATTCTGTCATTGTGAGGATAGAAAATAAAGAGTTGATGGCTTAGAAAGCGGACAATGGAATATGACTCTTTTTACCACTAGGACATCAATTTAAATCCCACCCAGGTTAGTAATGATTGAAAGTCATTGCCGTTGCTAGCCTATGTGAAATGAGTTACGGCTAAGCTTGGCAGAATTTGATATTTTTAAAAAATAATTTTGATGGATAATATCAATGTTTATTTTTAATCATCTTTTCCCCCAACTTTTATCTACTTACATTTTTGCATTTATAGGAAATTATGGGAGGGTCATATATAATAATTTAACAACAGTATGAAATTGAAAAAGTTAAAGCTTTATAACAGTTAAAACACAAATTGTCAACTTTACATGTCAAAATATATCAAGTAAATATCCTTAAATCAAACTCTAATAAGTTTTCAAGCAGCATTTTTCTTAATTGAAATTTACAAATAGGCAAAGTATCAGTAGAAATGTTTTTTTCATCAGTTTGTGTGTACGGTGAAATCAATATTTACCAATAAAAATCTAATCCTTCCAGTCTAGTTATGGCCCCTTACTCAGTGGACACATATCCACAGTGTACATACGGGCACCACTTTTCACATTAATTAATGGCTTCAGCAGAGATTCTTAGGATTACTAAGGGCACAGAAACTGAACTCATCCCTAACCGTGGCCTTTCTAGAAAAGGATTTACACACACCAGTAGGGTGGAGTGGAGAATCTTGGACTACCCCTACTGGTGCTGTGCCCAAGTCTGTATATGAACAAATTATTTCACAGTCTAACAGGGTCAGTTCAGCACCATGCGCAAGCACTAAATTAATATAATTAAAAATAAAGTGGAGACAAAATGAGGGCTCTAGATTAAAAAACATTTTATTGCAGCTGAAAGTAGGATGGTCAATTTTTTTAGTGGCAGGATTAGACCACTTTGCTCTCTGGTTTGGTGAAAAGACTCAAGGATGAAATAATTATTGCTTAATGAAATCTAGGGGTTAAGATGCTTAGTACTTTTAAAGTATATCGTGGGTCTCCCAATTCAACCCTCTTTGGAAGTAGTTCTAGCTTTCAAGGAAATGTGTCTATTTTCTGTAACATAGGATGGAGTTATGTAAATCTCATCAAGTGCCTCAAGTCACTACATTACAGCATTTTTCTGTAAATATTTGTATAGAGGTGTAGTTATCTTGAATTTTGCATATGGTCTTTAGGTCCATACAGTACTGTAAGCAGCGTTACAAGTGGGTGCAGTTTCATTGACATTCTAAAAGTTGTTTTGATTAAATGACTTCAATACAGTTGGAGCAACCAACTCTGAATTTGACCTGCAATCTTTATATTCCATTAAGGGAGATTTTGGAAGTGAATTATATTTAAAGTTTACTTTCACAGAATATGAAGCAATGCAATTAGAACTTCCAGGCCTTTTGATAGTTAAAGGAAAAGCTCCACTTTTAATGGCACTCTAGTAGCTTGAAAGATTGGAATAGCACCAACTAACAGTTATGGTGAGCACTGATCACAAAACTGTTTTAATTTAATATCTCAATAAGTTATCAGAAAAAGCACTCAACTGAAGACAAAACACCATAGAAAGGAACTATGTGGTATCTGAGTACAAAAGAAAAAAAACCAATCTCTTTGGAATATGAGAGTTCATATGCTTTGGTTCTTAAGGTAATCATTAAAAGAAAATTTGCCACATCCACATTTGGATAATAAACAACAGCTTAAGTTTTCAGCTCCAATCAAAGGAAAACGGATTTGGGAAACAAACACATATGGTGGTAATCTGCATTCCCATCTTAACTTTTAAGCTTACATTTAAATAACATTTCTCTGTTTCTTGTATATAGCAATTTTGGTAAATATGTCTCAAGGTGGCTTGAAATGTACATTAATCTGCTATGAAGAAAAAACAACAACCCAGTAGTACACATTAGTCAACAGGGGATAATCACCATTACGATTTAAGCAAAACATTTTCTATAACTGACTTACATCAACTAGATGACTCTAGAGATCATGGAATATTACATAATTAGAGAACAACGCTCATCCAGAATCCATAGAAGTGGCTTTTTCCGCCTCGCTCCAGTTTAAAGCAGCTGAACAAATTCAGAATTTTATTTTGTGTTGAAGTTACGCTAGTTATACTTCTGCATCACATAATAGAAAGTTGTATCTCCCACTATAACAGTGTTAGCATGAAAGAAATGTGCTGAACAGAATAAAAATAAAAAGGAGTTAATCTCTGGAATTGTTTTGATTTGACAAAGAGGAAGTAAACCAAACAAACCTCCTCCCTTTCATCAACAGTTACTGTATCAAAAACAACATCATTACAAGTATCCACTGACAGTATAATAATTTGACACACAATAAAACCAACTTCTTTCCAGTCATAAATTAAGGACAAATTAAATATACATATCATTGAATGACTTTGTTAACCTACTGCATATCCAGTTCTACCTGTCCTGACCCATGTTCCTGGAACTTTGCAACAATCAATAACCTGCCCATTCTTTGGTTCCCCGGTAACATATTATGACATTATAAGTTTTACACAACACGCCTCTTCTTTTGCTCCTCTTTAATTGTGCTCAAGAAAATGACTGGTTAGAGCAGTAGTCTCCAACCTTTTTATGTACAAGATTACTTTTTGAATTTAAGTGCAACCCAGGATCTACCCCACTCTTTCCCCGAGGCCCCGCCACCTTCCCGCTCACTCACTCCACCCCACCCTCATTCACTTCCACCGGCCTGGGCAGGGGGGTGGGGTTCGGGAAGGGGGTGCAGGCTCTGGGTTAGGGCCGAGATCTTCGGAGTGTGGGAGGGGGCTCTGGGCTGAGCCTGGGGCAGGGGGTTGGGATGCAGGAGGGGGTGAGGGATGCAAACTCTGGGAGGGAGTTTGCATACAGGAGGGAGCTCAGGGCTGGGGGTTGGGATGCAGGAGGGGGTTTGGAGTGCTGGCTCTAGGAGGAGGCTCGGGGTTGGGGTGCGGGTTCCCGCTGGGTGGCACTTACCTCGGGCGGCTCCCAGTTGGAGGCGCAGCGGGGCTAAGGCAGGCTCCCTGCCTACCCTGGCCCCACGCTGTTCCCAGAAGGGGCCAACACGCCCCTGTGGCTCATGGAGGGGGCCCATGTGGCTCTGCGCACTGCTCCTCCCTGCAAGCACCGCCCCCACAGCTCCCATTGGCCAGGAACAGGGAACTGCGGCCAACAGGAGCTGCGGGGACGGTGCTTGCAGACAGGAGCAGTGCGCAGAGATCCCTGCCCCCGCCCAAGGGGCCGCAGGAGTGTGCTGGCCACTTCCGGGAGTGGCAAGGGGCCAGGGCAGGCAGGGAGCTGGTGACCACTGGATTAGAGCAAATTATAAGGGTATACATTTTTAATTTATAAAGTGCACTATGCAAGAATTCCAAGGCACTATACTTTTCAGGAGGAATTACAAATCTTATCCAAAACAATATTAAAAATGAAAGAATGAAAGGTTTGTTTTTATATAATACTGACATAATAATACAGATAATATCAATTTTAGAACACAGTAGGTAATACAGTTCACATATGGACAATGCAGTCCTTTATAGTTAAGGATCAACATTAAAAAAATCAAGGCACAGACAAATCTGAAGTCAATAAGGCGGCCCCCCTCTGTAAAGTGGTCAAAAAATAAGCTTCAGTTACTTAAGCAAAGAGGTGACTTGTTTGTGCTGTTTGTGAAAAGTTTTTGATTTATCTGTCCAAATAAAATGGTTTCCTCATTTAAACAGATAGAATGAGCAAAACAAACCAACACAGAGCTGCGAAATGGTGCTGCATTCTGAACACTTCAATCACTTCTTGAGCTCTTTACATTCTTATATTCCTACCTTCCTAAATTCTGCTCACGAATGACTTCTATCAGATTTCTAACACAAAGAAGTGAATTCCGCCAATCCAACATAACAAATAGATGCTAAAGCTTCTGCTGCTAAACTTTGCTGAACAGAGAAGAAACCAAAGAGCTGTCTGATGTGGAAAGATTGCTAAAAGCAAACTACAAAACCAGTGCAGAAGTATCAGTAGTTCTTTAAAAGTCTCAAGATTCCATTGAGTGTATCTTTTAGGTTCAAAAGACGCAGGAGGGGAGAGCATTTTGGACCGGTAAATCAGAAAAATCTGTCTCTCATGAAAAGTAACTAATGATCTAATTCAGACAACTGATGAAAAACAGACCTTGAACAACAGAATCATAAATATTTATCTACCCATCTGACAATGTAATTCAGAATAACTGTTGCTGAGTAGGATTTTTTTTTTAAAAATATAACTTACCTTAATTGTTTTGCATAGTTTTGTTCAATCTCTATCCTTTCTTTTACAAACTTTGCATATCTCTCCAAGAAGTCAATGCCCCACTGTGTATGCTTGTCTAAGTTATCAAATTGATCCTTTAAAACAAAACAAAGAAATTCAATTAGCTACACAAGGTTTAAAAAAAAAAAAACACAAAATTCTATCAATTTCATTTAGTTATGAAGTTGTGGTCTTTGATATTTAGATATAACTCACTACAATGGGGATAATAAAGCCAGTCCTATGCATATCACAACCCTCATATGCCAGAATATTAGTAAGCTAAAATCACATGTGCAAACATACTTTTGGCTCTTCATGTAAAAAGCACCTGTACTCATATTTAAAAATTACTCACAGTTGATTTTTTTTTTTCATAAAAAGTAATGGCCATTAATATTTGTATTACTTTAAAAATAAACAATCCTTTTCAGTCAAGGAAGGTTTCCAACACAACACTGAAAATATAAGTGGAGACAAGCGTTCTGTAACTGGTTAACAGACTATTTAAGTACCATTTCTTTCACAAGAGATTTTTGAGGAATTTAAAAATTCCTCAACACAGACCCTAGGTATGGTTTCTTGGCATTCAAAAAAAGTATTTACATCCTTAAGATCACCCAATGACAGAAAACATACTTAAGTGATACTGTACAACAAAGGTGGATACATTCCGTATTTCAAACACAGATAGTCAAAGTCATCAGCAAATGCTCACTCCATGATAGGTGCGGGTGACGGTCTCCAGACAGAGCAAAGCTAGTCCTAAAAATGAAGAGAGCTATGACAAACTGGCAACAGAAGACAGAAACTGGATTTTAAAAAAGCAGATTTCTTTAGAAATGATCAAAAACCCTGTTATATTGCTACCGTCAAAGCTGAATTTTCACTATTACAGGTGGCAGATCAACAGGTCGAGCAAACATTCATTGAGGGTGAAGAAGGAATCCAAAAACAAAAAGGGGAAACTTGAATGAAATATCTAACAAAAAATGAAGATGCAGTTCAGTAAACCACACTGCACACATTCATATTTTTATATTAAAAGTTTAAACTATGCCATGCTGAAGAGAAGTCCAGGATTTGTGTTTTAATATGACAATATTTATTGTAAATTCTGACTATATTTAGCACACCTCCTCATGAACAATTGCTCGATAGTCTAAAAAAAACCACGAGCAAATGTAAAAACAAATACAAGCTATCACACAGCGTCCCCCATAGAAACTGTGTCCAGATACACTTGATAGTTAAATAGTACAGCTATAAAATAAAATTAAAAATTAATATCAGAGAAAGTGATGAGGTATAGGCAAGGCTAATTGTGTTGCCTTTACATATTTAAAGTTTGCATAATAGAACACTACTTCATTATCTTAAGCTATGCACCATGCCTGGCAACCCTGACTCAATATTGCACCTTAACTTAATGAGTCATACCAGCCTTTCCTACTAACAACTTTAATCTTCTTGTTCCAATGCACACTACAGTGATTTGAAGTTGCATCAAGGAATGCTGAGGTACAATGCACTTTGGCAGACTTAAACAATATAACATTGATTGAAATGATATCTGGAAGATACTGGTAGTAAAAATATACCATCATTTAGGGTATTTAAGATCAAACAACATTTTATCAGCTTTGACAAATGTAAGGAAGAAATTCAGAATTAAGATTGCTTTCAAATCTCAACCTGTTGGGTTTAGAGCACTGAAGCATAGATTAAATATATCCCACACATCTAATTTGTGCCATAATGGTGATTTAAAGACAGTGTCGGCCTTCACTCTACATTTCTTTGAAGTCAGACCCTGAACATTGTTAAAACAGGGTTTTTTGGGAGGCATTAAAATATCATATGTAAGCATAAATTATAACTTTCTCAGAAGCTTTGCTCTTTTATATTATGCTTTTGTTTTCGTAATTACTTTGACAATATTACCCTTGTATCCAACTGAAGTCCCAATAAGTTGTTTTTGATAGGGAGCCAATGGTCAGAGCAATTAAAAAAAGACTTCCTTCAGTGAACAGCAAAACAATTCCTTTGCTGTCCTAGTTTCGGCTGCTTACTCCACACTACTTTGATTTGCTGCCAAGGTTTAACTTAATATTCTGGAACACCAAACTGTTAATATTTTAGAACACAACCACAGAGAATATCTTTCCAATATTACAGGATCAAATAAAAAACAAATAATTTGAGGGATCAGTTAATGAAAATTACTTATTTACTACTGACATATACAAAGATGAACCTGTATAAGTAATATACCTCTCTCCTTCTACCATTAACAAAAGGATCACTCCTCCTCACTGAAAAACTTTCCTTTCTTTACTTCATCTTCCTCCATCTCACTCTAGAAGCTGCAGGTTCTGAGCGAGGACAGCTAGGGATAGGATATCTTGCTTTTGCTTCCATGAGAAGAATAATTTGGCACCGAATGAAACAAAGGCTGCTGGAAAGAGAGGTTGCTCACCATGTGTAGTAACTGGAATTGATCAGAGATTTTTGGTAGTGGTGCCCATTCAGCCTGCACATGCAAGACAAAGGCTATATGGGGCTGAGCAGGCGAACCACCTTCCTTCTCCACTGCAAAGTCCCACAAGGGCAAATTCAAAGCAGAGGAGGAGGAGGACGGGTAGTGAAGCACCCACAGGGGGACACATCTCAAAGAATTCAAGTTACTGCAGAAGGTTAGTAAACTCTCCTCCTTCTTCAAGTAATGTTCCTGTGGGTGTATCACTTCAGGTGACTCCCGAGCAGTACCCTCCTAAGGAGGCAGGAGGTTGAGAGCAGAGTCCAAGAGAAAAGAGAGAACTGAATTGCCTACAGCAGCATCTGATCTTGCCACAGACACCAGGACATAATGATTAGAAAAGATACGAACAGAGGACCAAGTTGCCGCTCTACAGATGTCTGCAATTGGTACATCCTTAAGTAAGTACATAGTGCTATTGAAGAATGTGCTATCACTCTCAAAGGCGATTGGATATCAGCTCTGTCATAACAAGTTTTAATACAACCACAGATCCACTTTAACAGTCTCGATTTTGAAGTTACCAAACCCTTTTTTCTGCCTGCAATGGATACAAATAATCTAGGGCATTTTCTAAATGGTTTGGTCCCGTTTTGGTAGAAGGCCAATGCCCTCCTGACTTCCAGAGTACGGAATATGGCTTCTTGACTAGTCCGATGCAGTCTGGGGAAGAAAACCGGAGATGAATGGTTTGATTAATGTGGAATTCTGAGGACACTGTAGGTAACAATCTTGGATGACCCCATACCAACACTTTAGCTCTGTTGAATACCGTAAATGGGGGATCCACCATTAAAGCCCCCAATTCTCATTCCCTTTGGGCACAAGAGATCACTATCAGAAAGGCTTTCTTCATAGAGAAATCTAACAACAAACACACAGCTAGTGGTTCAAACAGATGCTTCAGAAAGGAAATTAAGGACTAGGTTCAGGTCCCAGCTACGAGTATGTCTCTGATTTGTGAGGAGATATTCAACAAACCTCTTAGGAATCTTGCTGTAGTACGAAGAGTGAAAAACCCCCTGAGTGTGTGAAAGGCTGTTACTGGTGTTAAATGAAGCCTAATGGAATTTACAGAAACACCTGATGTTTTCAATTCCAACAGATAATCTAATATCCTAGGAAGAGGAGAATGAATTGGAGAAATCTGATGTGATAATATTTCAATTTCTGGAGGTAAGTATTTCTTGTAGATGGTTTAATAAAACTTGTACCTCTGAGGAACAAGATAGCTCTATTCCTAAGAACCACTGAGGTATCATGCTTAGAATCTCAGAATCTGCAAGTTGGAGTAAAGTGTTTGACCGACATCTTGAGTCAGTAGGTGAGGACTGATCGGAAGCTTCCAGGAAGGACGAGAGGTGAGTCCCATTAGATACCAGACTTGTCTAGCCACATTGGTGTAATCAGTACAAATCTGGCCCAATTTTATTTGATCTTGTTGAGAATCTTTAACAGTAATGATGTCAGTGGAGATGCACAGAGAAGTCTTTTCATCCACAAGATGAGAAATGTGTCTCCTAGAGATAGGGGATCGAGATGCCCTCGCCCCCCGGAACAATACCTGATGCATTTTGAGTTGGTTGCCGTGGCAAATGTATTGATCTTCAGGAACTCCCAAGCTAAGAACATCGTGTGGAGGACTCTGGAGTTTAATTCCCATTCATAATTTAGACATAAATGTCTGTTGAGGTCATCTGCCATGGTGTACTGAATACCTGGTAGGTAAGAATCTGAGATGACTATGTGCTTGGGTATGCACCAATTCTAGGGTTTTATCACTTCAGCCCAGAGAGATGAGGAACATGCTCCTTTCTGATGATTGATACACGCATGCCACACTGTCTTGTCATGATCTTTATTGACTTTGATCTGATTAGAGGTAGAAAGTGTAGCAAGCATTTCTGACAGCTCTCAATTCAAAAGATTTACGTGTAGAAGCTGCTCTTGTAGAAACCATTTGCCTTGCACCTTAAGAGGTCCCAGATGTGTCCCCCAACTCAAAGCAAAGCATCTGATGTTTTCACTGTCGTAGGGGGATTTTGAATGAACGGAACACCTGTTCACATCTTTGTGAGGTCCTTCCACCTACTGAGTGCAGAACCACCGGGGAAGAGCGTGACCTGCCTAGACTGTGTTTGCTTGATTTGTAAACTGTTCAAAGCCATCCCTGTAGACTTTGAAGATTTAACCTGGCATGCTACACTACAAAGACACAAGCTGATGTGTCCCAGCAGTTGAAGGCAATCTTTTACTATCATTTAAGGACTTTCCTGAATCCTTGAGATGAGATATGCTAAGTGCAAGAAATCTGGAGGAAAGGAGGTATCTTTTGAGTCCGCAAAGACCTTGAGATCATTAAAGGGGAGATCTTCAATGGTACTCTGAACCTCTCCCTGAAAGCCCAACATCTGCAGCCAAGGTGCTCTTCTCATGACCACTGCAGTGTATATAGACCATGCTGCAGAATCTGCCATGTCTAAGGAGGCCTGAAGCGATGTCCTTGCTAGAAACTGGCCCCCTTGAATATTGGCTTTAAATTGGTCACAATGTTCC